AAATGGTCGGACTGACTATTTTGATTTCTTAAACAAATCCATTCGATATCTTGGTAAATTGACTCATTTCTTAATGCTTTATCGTTGTTTAACAACTATACCTTGAATATATAGAGTTCAATAAATGTTCGTTAAATTCAATTCAATAGGAAAGTTGTTTGATTTGGTGTATAATTATAGACTGTTGTATTTCTGTAAATTTCATTTGATTTTAGGAAGTTTTGAAAATTTGGGACAAATGAGAACAATAGTGGTACTCAGAGAAATGATTTACATTGGAGTTCCTGTTTTATTTTGTTTCTGATATTCCACACAGGACTCTGTGTGTGTGTGTGTGTGTGTGTGATATAAAAGAACACAACACCTATTAAGGACACGACACTTCAGGCTAGAAGACAGAAAGAGAGTATGCCCTCTGATGTCCCATAGACCTGGGTCAAATCCTAGCTTCCCTAGCTGTGTGACCTGAATTATCTCTCTGTTTCTTTTTTCTGTGCAATGGCTAAGTCTTTACTTCACAGGGTTTTTGTGTAGTTACATGGGAACGGAGAGAAGTCCTCATCATCTTGGTGAGGTTTGCTCCAGGTTCATTGGTGACGCTGAGTTAAACTAATGTCTAAGTCAGAGAATGGGTTGTGAGGGGGTTTTGCGAATAGAGTCAAAACTTTCAGAATCTGATAAGAATATGGATTGGGATAAAATCTGAGAATTGTTATGCAATTTAAAACAATACAATTTCCACTTAAAGGCTGTGTATTATGTACTGATTTTCTTATGAGAGCTATTCTTGAATTTCAGATTCAAGACAGTATCTCTAGTGAATAATAAAGCAAACTTTTATAAAGGCATATGTAGAATATGATTGAGCAACTTAAATATAATTCAAAGTCTCCCTTTAATATTAAGCCTGGACAGTAGAAATAGACTGAAGAGGTTATATTTAATCTAGTTGCTGTATCCTGGCAATTTATTAAGTCAGTTAAATAACTGTCTTGCTAACAGTGCTTGTAGTTTCCAAGTCATAGCTTTAGATTTTTCTACACATAGAGAAATACATAATTTCTTTCTGTCGAACTGTCTGAAGAAAGCCTTGTTTTTACTTTGGTGTAATATTTAGCAAGATTAGATACTTTGTATCTAGTATCTGATTTGTTCTAGTATCCTGAGAAATGATGAATATGTAACATAGATGAACTTCAACAGGATGATTTCATTTGTGCCATTAAGATGAGATTTAAGTTTTAGATTTGTTTTTAGTAAAAACTGAATGATTCAAATTCAGGACATTATGGTGAATCATGTTCTGTGTAAGTAATGAATTTTATTTCTATTGAGTGACATAGGAAACAGTAGTATTTCCATCTTTAGAAATGGCTAGTATTTCCTAGCTGGTAGATTAATCTTGGGTTGCTGACACAACATATTTTAAAGCCCACATCCTTTTGGGGTTTACAGATAGGGAAAAGTTAGAATTAACTTGTAAGATTGTGGCTTCATATTGTTAAAAATGTTCAGTTGGTTCAGACAATTTTCCAGCAGAAAAATTAGGCAAATTATTTCCTCAGTGTCTTTTGAAATGATGTTCTATGGTGGTTTTCCTAGTTAGATGCAATCTGTGGATTGCTTTTGAATAAATAGTCTGGAAATGAAAGTAGTGATTTGCTACTTTCTAATAAAGAAAATTTTATTTTTGGTAGTAAAGGCTGTCCTATTGAACTCTTAGGTATTCCGAGTCTTTTTAATGACTAGCTGTTTGTGGTTCTTCATCTTTTTTTTTAATTTTAATCACAATCCTCTTTGAAAAAATCGATACTTATTCCCCAGAAAAATGCATATATGTAAATATCACAAAAATTTCCAAGTAATTTTTGAGGATTCACAGACCCCCAAAGCTTATCTAAATGGATGTTGGGAGACTCATAAAAGCAGAATTTCCATTTTAAAGTTGTAAAATGGTGGCAGAGAAATCAGTGTTAGTTTAAAACAAATTTTACCCTGCACCTTTGTTCATTCTACGTGTATTTATAGAGCATCTACTACGTCCAAGGGTTCCAGCAGTGATCAAGGCAGAGGAAGGGCCTTGAGCTCACAGAACTTATATTCTGGAGGATGTTGATTGTTAAGGTGAAACATAGTGGTCTTGACCTTCAGCATTAACTCTGACTGGTACTTGTAAATCTAAGCAGCCCTTTTTCTTCAGAAGCCAGAGATGATTTTGATTAATTGACCTGACAGTGCATGGCACATCATATTTACTTGGGAGGATATAATAACCCCAGAGACTCCCACAGGAAACATGAAAATTTCCACATACTATTATCCTAATGGGATCATAGTAGGAGAAAGTGCAAGCAAATTTAAGATTCTCACAGGCAAAGGAAGCTTTTGGTCAGTCCTTAAACACTGTTGAGTTTTTCACCTGAATTCACATTAGACAGAAAAGTCAGGGCAACAGAAAACGGAAGCATGGAAGGAAAACATTTTATGGAAGTGTATTGTCTTCTTAGGGGAATAAGTAATTGGTTTCTTGGAGAGTATATTATTTGTAATTTAAAAATATGTATGTGGAAGCAAATTTTTTGATAAATTACGGCAGGTAATATTTTATATGCTTGGGAATTTTGAGAGAGAAAAGAATAATTAATCTGGAATATTCTCTAGAGATGGTTCTCAAAGTGTTGTCCAAGATTAGCAAAATTAGCATCAATCATCAGGGAATGTGTTAGAAGTGCAAATTTCCAGAGCCCACCCCAGACCTACAGACTTAGAAACTGTGGAAGGGGAGATAGCAATTTATGTTTTAACAAGCTTTCAAGTGATTTTGGTGCTCCAAAAGTTTGAGAATCACTGCTATACAATTATGCACAAATTATTGCTCTTTTAATTTGGCTCATATTTATCAAACATATATACATGTAGGTTGTACTGGGAGCTTCTGAAGTTGATAATGTCATACATGACATATTTCTTAGTATGTTAGTACTCCTTTAAAATATTCCCAGACTTTAAGAAAGTCTATTTTTCTTTTTTTAAGTTAATACTAAAATATCCTAAAATAAGATTTATGTTAACTTAGACCATTTTATATTAAATTAGATAACATAATTTAAAAACCAAGCATAATGACTAACATACAGTAGATTCATTATATACTATAGTTCCCTTTTGCTTTTATGCATAAGTATTTATTTTCTTTAATTTGTCATATATATTATTAATTCACTCTCTATTTCACAGTGTTTGAATGTGAATAAAAGGTAGAAGTATTAAAAATTGGAAAACTTAAAATTATATTTATGGGTTATTTTGGATGCACATCTTTTTGGGCAGCTTATAGTTTATACTGAAGTAGAATGAAATTTTGGATTTCTGTAGGGTAGAGTTAAGTTTGAGCTTAAGATAAAATTAGTAGTATAGGAGACATCGCATTTTAATGTTGTTTCTAGTGTCACCTACATTTCTCTAGGTCCTACCAGCCTGTGGGTGCAAATGAGTAACCTTGACATTGGCATTAATAATCTGCGATTTTCTGGCTTTCTCTTCCTCATTTGCTGACTGCACACCTCAGCCCCTTCCCTAGAGGGTCCCCCAGTTATTGGGGAGTCTTCAGAGTGTATTGGAAGAAAGGCTGCTGGGGCTCCTGTGCTATGCTCAGTGTCTATGGCCCTCTGCCACTGGCCTGACGTCCAGCGCCTCTGAGAGAGGGCTGCTTTCCTGTCCAGAGCCCTGTGTCTGGCATGCACTCAAACCGCAGAACCTTCTATGGGCCAACAGATGTTCTGTTACTGTCACAACTCACAGACAGTATATTGTATCATGAATGCAAACTCCTATCTGATTTTCCAGCTCGTCCTTCTCTTTTCCAGGTATCTGCACACTAATTTAGAAGGTCTGCTTCCCTGATACATATCAATATAGGCAAATTCAAGCTTTGGTGGGAAGGAGGCTGCCACAGAGCTGGCTTCAGGGACATGTGACCTGTGCAGTTCCCCAGGGCCCCATGCTCAGAACAGCCCTGTGTTTTGTTCTACGCTCTGTTGTTGCCATCTTGAAATGAGTAATAATTTTTGAACACGGGGCTCCTCATTTTCATTTTGCTCTGGGTTCCTCAAATTAGGCAGCAGTCCTAGGCAGCTGCCCATCTATTCAGCAAAGACTGAAACTCTAAACTTCAGTTTGAGGACAGTTTACAAGACTATGCCTGCTTTTTCTTGAGTCTGTTCTTGAGACTTGCATTAATAATATTTAACCTCTCCTTAAAGCATTTCCCAATATCTGGTCTTGAGATGAGATAATTTAAGCATGATTTTTCTTATAGGAGCAGTAGGGTCTATAAATTTATAGGAGTCCTACAATGGTTTACTATTTATTGCCTTTTTAGATACTAAGTCAAATTTGGATTTTTTTTCTAAAATCACATTTGTTAAAAGATTTCCTGGTGTAAAAGTTGGTGAACATTTATCAGGAACCAAATTAAATGGGATTCATTCATTAGACATGAATGGAATACCCATGAGGTGCTATAAAAATGGAATAATGGAGGCCAGCCTGGTGGCGTAGTGGTTAAGAGTGTGTGCTCTGCTTTGGTGGCCTGGGGTTTGCCGGTTCAGATCCTGGGTGTGGACCTACACACTGCTTATCAAGCCATGCTGTGGCAGCGTCTCACATACAAACAGACGAAGATTGGCACAGATGTTAGCTCAGGGCCAATCTTCTTCACCAAAAAAAAAAAAAAAGGAATAATGCTTATCCCTGTTTTCTAGCTCATAATGGGTCTAGAGTGACAGATGCAGAGAAAAATTATTTCTGCCTGGGGGGCTTGGAGACAGGGTAGGGGAAGAGATTAAATATCATTTAATAACAGAGTACTGCATGGAGGGGCTTGGTGTCCATGGGAAGACATTGCAAATGTACTTTAGACTAGGAGCTGAATCATTAAGTCTTGGTCAAACTTGTTTTTTGATTCGCATTTTATTGCTTCTTTTCTCCTGGGCTTTTAGCCTCAGCACCCCAATCAGATGAAGGCTCCGACATCGACTCTGAACCAGATTTGCCGCTAAAGAGGAAGCAACGCAGGAGCCGGACCACCTTCACCGCAGAACAGCTTGAGGAACTGGAACGTGCTTTTGAGAGAACCCACTACCCTGATATTTATACCAGGGAGGAACTGGCACAGAGGGCGAAGCTCACCGAGGCCCGAGTACAGGTACTAACGTGCAGACGCCCACGTCCTGCTTAAATCCAGACAGGAAGCAAAGAAGTGTATTCTCGTCTAAATCATATTTTAAACCAAGAAAGTAAATGTATGAGGAATGGCACTTCATTGTGAATTGTGAATTGTAGCTTCTCGCATGATCAAGCTCCCTCTTTCTCTCTAACGCCTTTTCTTTATATTTTGCCTTGTCGTGATAACAATATCATGACCTCTTTTTTTTTTATTTGCATTTACCTGGTCCAACCTCCTCCCCTCCTCTCTCCCCTGCATCTCTTTTATTTTAGTTATGTCCACGGCACACAGCAACATTTTACTCTGCTAACCAGTTAGAAAATTGTTTTCTTTTTACTCTTAATAGTTTGATAAATCCAACTAAATTTATGGATATGATGGGTATGTTTGGCTTCTTTTCTATCATGTTGTTTGATGCAAGTATTTTATGTGTATAGATTTAAAAATATGATCAATTTAATTTGCTTCCTTTGTATTCTTAATTTTTTTTTTTTAGTATTTATGAAAATGTGCATTCTTATCTTAGACTTTGGTTATCATTACTAGGAGAATATGATTATATCAGAGATAACACACAGAAATGTGTGAATAACAGAAATGTTATTCACTCAGCATTTCAAGAATCCTCGTTATGTACCAGGCACTATATGGACTATATTGGGGGTGCTACATAGGTAATAGCAATATTTTGAATGGTTACTTTGTGCCAGGCACTGTTGTAAGTGCTTTACATTAATTAACCCATTTACTCATCATTAAATACTATCAATATGCCCAATTTATAGATGAGGAAACTAAGATTCAGACTATTTAAGTAACTCCTCAAAGTCACATAGCTAGTAAGTGATCGAGGTAACTGGATTCCATACACTTCCTGTCTATGGCCTTTCAATTATGAAGATGTGCAAAGGTATATAAGGCAAAATCCCTTCCTTGAAGGGTTTTATAGTTTAGAAGCATTTCAAGTAACTATTATTTTAAGAACATTTAAAATTATCTTTTGAACTCTTAGAAGTGCTCTGAAGCCTCTGGAAAAGGCTACTTTGGTGTAATATGTTTCTATTGAGTGATAGAAGAATGTTTTCATCATTACTGATGGAGTTTCCCCTCAAGGTAGTAAAGCACTGTTTGAGGATTTCAAATGTCTCAGGAACTCCTTACTGACCAGAAGTTAAGTTACTTTATCCGGAAATATTGTGTTAGTCCCAGATACTTGACTTTCATAGTCAAAGTGAAATGGAGACTCAGCAGTGAACTAGTCAGTTGATATGATCTCTAAATTGATCAACACTTTCTCATACGCAGCTAATTACCTCTTCTATTACAGAATTTTGAGAAATAGCCTCTTCCAGCTGCAGAGGCTAGTCAGTGGGACTGTTTTATTCAACTTGACTTTCCATATGATCCTCATTGTGCTAGAAAAGTCAAGGAATGTGAAGATGAATTAAGACAAGTCTCTCAAGGAGCTAGACTCTAACATGGATAATAAAGTAAACATACGAATAATTTAAAAACAAAGCAGACGTGATAAGTGCCATAAGAGAGACAAAATACAGTTGGAGTTGAGAAGAGGAAAGGATGAGATCTTGTTGGAGTAAACAAGAGAGGCTCTTGAAGAAGGTAGATTTAAGATGGACTTTTGAGGCTGGATAGATATTCATTGAACAAGGAGGGTGGGGAGAGTATTTTAGTAATTGAGAATAATGTGCACAAAAGCTCAGAGAGTTGGAAGCCCATGAGTTCCATATCAAGTGACCTTTCATTTTCTCTCTAGTCATTTTGAGGGAACAGTCAATAGTTCAATTTGGTTGGAGGGTAGAGAGTGGTAGGGTGGCAGAAAGAATATGGTTGGAAATCTAGGACATCTTGTGGCGGGCTTGAGTTTCAGGCTTGGGGGCTCAAATGTGATGCGACAGGCAGTGGAGGCTCTGGGCATGAAATAGGTCAGTGGCAGTGGGAATGGAAAGGAAGGATAGAGGTGAACAGCATTCAGAGGTGGAATGTGGGCAATTGATTGTGTAAGCTGGAGGTGGGTGGGAGGGTGAGTGAAGGGAAGAAATCACAGATGCACTGAGGTTTATGGTGCAAATGTTTTATGGTTCGAACTATTCAATCTCTCTGCCTATTACATTGGGATACAGTGTTCCCAGAAATGACACCACTAACCACAAGTCACGATAGTATGTACACATAAATATTATATTATTATGTTATAAGATATATAGTGTACATATTATGATATTATATATAACAATGTTACAAATATTATATGTATCAAATCTATTTTGCTTTTATTATAGTTCTATGACTACCTGGTTTAAATGTGAAGTGAGGTCCATTCAGTCCTCCATTCTTTCAGCAAACTTTTATTGAGTTCCCACTCTATTCCAGGATTTAATCCCTGTACTCCATGTCTGACCAAGCCCAGATACTAGGTCTGCCCTTAAGATAGATCGAATATCAGCTCTCAACTCAGAGTCAAGAAATAAACATTGTTTTTAAGGAAACCAAACAAAGAGAGTGATGGAAAACTGAGAAGTGTTAGTGTTGCTCCGCTTCATTCTTGCCTTTGCCAAAGACGAGGATGCGGGATAGAATCAATCTCAAATCCATGCAGCTTGTACAGTGCCCGGCATTCGCATCTGGCTTGATGAATGTCAAAGGAGAATAAGAATGGCCCATTAACTCCAGAGGACATGGGATCAAACCAATAAAGAATGGTTCATATTTTTCTATACAGTGACCTCCCCTCCAAAGCAGGGCCCTCATTAACCTAACAGCTGTCCTAATGTGGCTTTAACCCGGTGACTCTTTACATTCCTTATGGCTTCATTAGGTCCCTTGAGACACATCATGTCTTGCACCACAGCTATGATCTACAGCCTAACAAATTCCCTACAACACCCGGCATATGGATCTTTTACTTAACCCAGCAGGAAAAAGAGGGGAGTAGTTAATCACTGATTAAAATGCCAGAACAAAATCCTTTCGTTTTTAGAAGGATCTGGGAAAGCAGTAGCAAAGTCAACTCAGTTTGAGTGATAGCCAGAAAGTGTGAGTTAGTTTAATTTGGGGCACCTGGGAAAACCAAACACCACACCAAAAAAACCCCAAAACACGTCTACATTCCATTTTTTTTTCCTAAAGAAAAATATTTCTAAATTCTGGATAGAGATGAGACTAAAGCTATAATAACTTAGGCCATTGTCAATATTTCATAAAAACTTGTTTGGACAGTAGCTGTGTTGTGTTGATCATAGCCAAGTCTGAGTACACGATCTAAGAATAATTGTACACCAAAGACTAATTTGCCTAATTCACCTCCTGGATAGCTGTTATTATGCAAAAAATGACAAGCATTAAAGTTTTGTGGGGAAGAATGACTTGCAAATACTTAAGATATGCAAAAGTTTTAGTGAATATTCCATCTAAGAACTTTGAGAAGCGGGGAAGTATCATTCTCTTTTATCACCAAAATAATAGAAGACAGGAAAGGAAACTGCTTGTAGAAACAGTATTTAACTAGGAGTCAGAAGGTGTGGGTTTTGGTCTCAGCATGCCAAAAGTGTTTTGTTGAGCAAGTCACTTAATTCTGCTGTAGTCCTGCTGGGCTTCAGGGTTTTTTTTTTTTATTTTATTTTAAAATATAGGGTATGTTAGATCAGATGATCTCAGTCTGGGTCCATGGACGACCAGGATAATCATGGATGACTTCAGGAGATCTTGAAGACTTGAAATTTGTACAGAAAATTTTGTGCCTTTGCCTCTGTGTGTGTGTGTGTGTGTGTGTGTACATAAGCGTAAACTAGGGAGAGGGCCTCTGGCTTCCATCATACTCTCAAATACCACTTCCCCTGTACTGTCTCCCAATTAGAAACTACTAGGATGCATGATCTCCCAACACCCTTCTGGCATCAGAAATTTGGGATTCTCAGGGAAGCCCAGTGGTGATTTAAAGCCATCTAACAGATCTGTATAGTTTAGAAGTTAAATAGGTATGGAATATTTGACCCTGAACTCCATATATGGTCATCCTGCAATTCTCTGCAGGAGTTTGCTTTGGGATTTATAAAGATGCAGTTGAGTGTTCTTTTATGTGTGTTCATGATCCTCTGGCATTCACGGGAGCATGGCGTTTCTCTTCGTCGACCTCGCCTCTCCTCTCCCCAACCTGCTCTCCATACAGTGGTCAAAGCTGGACAGCAGCAATGATAGGGAGGCTGGGAGAGTGTAGTGTAGACAGAGAGGGAGTGGAGCAAATGAGAAGGTCCAGGGGAACGAGCCGCTTGTCCTTAACTGACCTACTTGGAAAGTACTGTATTTGGCATTGTAGCATTTGACATCATCAAATCTAGCGTTTAATCAAACATTTTATAATCTTGTGAATTCTCTTTCTGAGGATTAAGTATTATATTCTCTCCCCGTTTTTCAAATTGCCTTTGAAATAACCGATCTGGAATAAGGTAGGTTAGATTGCCTTTGAGGACCACACCAAAACTGTGAACCAGTAATTTATTGATGGGCAAAATTAGGCTTACACCATGGGCAATTAGCACTAATTCATGAAACTTGGAAGCAAATTTGACCTAAGCCTCCATTCAAGCCAAACTGGCTTTCAATTATTTGAGGTGTTATTCGAGCACTTTCCTGTTTGCTTATGGGCACAAAAGGCTTTGGCTGTAGACCACAGAGCTAAGAAAACAAAGCAAGACTTTAATTCTTAGATTTCTTGGACTGAGGAGTCAATGTGACATTTTTACTTAATAGCTAATATTTATTGAACACTTAATATCTCTTAGCTATTCTTTTCAGGGCCTTGATTGTATTGTCTCATTTAATTGTCAAGACAATCTTGTGCAGGAGTTTTTTATTTCTCCCATTTAGCAGATGAGAAAACAGAGGCCCATGGATGTTAAGCAAATTGTTCAAGGTCATAGAGGTAGCAAGTGGGTCGGGGGAAGCTGGGATGCAACTTTTGCCTGGTCTACATTGCACCCATGGGAATGAAAAGTATTACTGTATCTTTTAAAATACTAAGTTTTGCTCAACTTATATTGTTTAAGGTCTGAAGAAATTAGTTAGTTATTTTACTTGTGAAGAGAAAAATTTATGAAAAGCTTATTCTTCTTTTGCGATTCATTATCTTGTTTCCCTAGTTAGCAGGATGTTATGGGGATCTTTTAAGCAATTTAAATTTTACTTCAAAAAATCGTTGGACATTATATGACTCCAGAAATAGATCTAAAGATCATTTCCAAAAGGCATGGATATAGCTTTGTGAAAACGCTCTGAAGAGAGACATACAAGTAGGGAGAGATCCAGGGGGCAGATGAAAATAAACTGGGCTGCATCAAATGAAGTGAAAACTTGCTGTGAGGGTAGGTTTTGATGTGGTGTGATATTATACAAACAATTAACTGGGCCTAATAGTAGTTATCCGTCAATGTATGCCTCCACCCCCACTTCCTTACCGTGCTAAGTGTGATGTGGAAGGCCAGGTTATGTTATGTGGGGAGAGTGAAATTACATTTCATAGCTTGTAAAATTACGTTTAACAGGTATATAGCCAACTTTGTAAAACTTGTTCTTCCTGCCCTACTGGCTAAGAAATTGATGGAACAAGTGTATTCTCCTCTACGGCATCAAAGGCCAATTTGTCTCTGTTGCTATTGCTACTCTTTTCAAAACAAAGAGAAGTTTCCAGCAATTGTAACAACTGAGTCATAAATGCCTTCCACCCATTTTAGATGAACTTATATAGTGTTATACACTTACACATGTCATTCAGTAGATTGTTCACTGATTGTATGTTAGGAATTAGTGATACAACATTGAAAGAGTTATCTAAGACTTCTGAGTACCAAGAGAACATCTTTCAGTTAAAGATGGGCTGGGAACAGTATCCTGGGATGATTGTGCTTGGCCGGTTTGGGTATTTAAAATGAAGGTTATTTCAAGGGCACCTTTTTTGTTTTTCTAATAAAAATAGATGCGTCCTTCTATGAGTTTCAAAGCATAAAGGAGGCAAGGACCATTTCCCAGTTTGCAACTTCAGTATGTTTTTTCTTTAATGCTTCCTTTGGCAGACTCAGCGGTTCTGGGAGATGGAGATGCAGAGGCTGGTAAGGGCAAGATGATAGAAAAATCTGGTTAAATGTCCAGAGACAGGCAGGCCAGTCCTCAGTAAGCCCTGTTTCTCTCAGGAATAACCCTCTGGATTTATTTAGCCTAAATTTAAACAACATTTAAGTTCCTTCCTTGAGGAAACTCTTGAACCTCCTGTTGAAGGTTTGTTTTTCAGTGAAGATTTGCTTCCCAACTATTTCTCTTTATCTTTTATTATTATTTATAAGAGATATTATATTGTAAATATAAGAACTTTTTAATACAACTCCTGGTGGGTTTACTCAGTGTCTTCAATATTTATTTGTATCATTTTGGAAAAATGAAAACAGAACCCAAAAACTTTACACCCCTAGTCTTTTGGATTTAATCTTTTGAAGGTATTTGTAGAAAGTTATGACGGTTATTCTAATTTATTATTTGAGCAAAGCTGTTTTTGATTAAAAAAATTGGGTTATGGAAGAGTTAGAATGAACTCGAATCAAAAGTAGGTTGAGATTGTTGGGGCAACCAGGCATAGCCACCCACTGGATAAATCAAACTTGGTTTACTTATCTACAGGTGACGGGAGGAAGTTGGCCCAGAAAGATTGGCAACATTTTCTGATAATGACAGAAGTGCAAGCTTCTGAGTTCTTCATAAAGGATCTCACCAGTAGAATTGAGGAGATAAGTCTGAAAGAGTGAAGTCCCATCAGAACTTTGGAAATTCAGCTCTCCTCCCAGCCTAGTACATAAAGCTGAAGACGCATTGCTCATAGGTTGGTCTAGATAAGTGTGGGGGACCACTTCACCTGAGCCAGGTGTGCCTCATTGATCTTGAGGTTTTATAATATAAAATATAACCGCAGTGTGTGGTATAGTACAGTGCACTTAGGCATGAATACTGCCCTAATTTCTTACCCTCAGCCTCTTCAGGCTAACACAGCTTCTTCCAAGCACATCCTTGAAAACAGTTTTCTTACCCCAATGCCTCTGGGAGTCATGGCAACAGATGCTAAAACTTGCATTGAGAAAACACAATTGATGCAGACCTGAAACTGAGTGCTGTTCATGGTTCTATTATCCCAGGTGGCAATATATTAAGTTAAGTAAAACTCTAATTCAATTATGTATCAACATGGGAAAATATTGACTTACCTTCTTTTCCTGTTGGAAACTTAAGGAGTATTAAATGTTAGTATTTTGAGGAAGTTCAAACAGCTTTCCTTACCAGTATCTTGCAACATGCCTAGAGAAGACCAGATTTTTTCAGATCAATGCTGGGGTAAGTAGCAAAAGTTTAAGCAGATGCCTTGGCAAACTATTTGTTAAACTGGACTTTCTTGCTCCAGAAGGGAGAAATTCCTCCTTCCACTCTTTTTAAAAATTTTATGGCTTAAAAAGTTACAATTAAGTTGTATAATTGCCAACTTTGTTCTATAAGGAAACCAAATCTTATCTTTTCTTAGACACGCTGGTCTCGTGTATTATCACCTCCATCTGGAGAGACCTCTGGTTGAAATCATATCCAAACTCTGTCACTACTCTAAACTTTTCCTGATTCTATGCATTTCCAAACATGGAGCTTCTACTGAGCAATTATTTTGATTTCCTTGCTGACTCTGTGAATTCCATTAGGACAAGTCTGTAACCTACTCAAGCACAGGAATCCTGTCTTATCCTATCATCCTATTCACACCTTTATCCCTTCCGCCCCAAGCATAGTGCTTTCTCCATATTAAGTTTTCAATGAACTTTTGATGCAGGAATTAGAATATCTTTAATTGGTAGAAATCTTCTCTCATTTGGGGGGAACATCACTTGTACACTCTGGAAAAATCATTCCAAGTTCTACATTTAAACTCTGCAGATATAAGAGTTGGGAAGATCTTGGGGTCCATTAAAAGCCTTCTATCACAATTTCTCAACATTTTATATGTTCAGTTGCTTTTCTTACTCCTATTATTGTTGTTTCTCTCCGGCTACTCACCAAAATACTTGGGTTTTGTAATTCTTGAAGGCATTTAATTTTATTACCTCAAGTTTTTCTGAAGGTACCTGGTTAGGATAGTGCCTGGCACAGAGGATTATAGGTGCTTAAAGCTGTTGTTGAAAAAAATAATAAACAAACTAATTATTTAAGGGGTCTTAGGTAAAATACTTTCATTTCTCGAAATACTCTTTGGTATTTATTTCCATTAAGATTAGTACAATGTCTCGCACTTTGAAAGGGATGGTAAATGGCTCCATTTATCCTCCTGGTCCACTTATATGACTATCCAGCAGCTATGCCCATAGTGACCATAGAAATACAGAGGCAGACTGATAAGAATATAAAATACAAGGGTTAGAGTAATAGGCAAAGGCAAATTAGGACCTGTGTTGTATGGGGGTCAGAGACGCATGGATCCTCCCAGAACGCATGAATGTGGGAGGGTGTTGATGGTGGTAGTGGAAAGTTCAGGTTGGGAGGGTGTTGATGGTGGTAGTGGAAAGTTCAGGTTATTTCCAGTCCTGCTCAGCCATCCCTGTGCATCATAATCACGGGGTTCATGGGGGCTCTGTAAGACCATGGAAAGCCCTCGAAGCCCCTGTATGACCCCTGACATTTAACTCTCCTTTCTCCCCTGACAATACAACCGAGAAGGTGGAGAGCTCTTACATCTATTTGCCCTGTCAGTAAGGGGCCTTTAATCTGTTTTAGCATGAAAAATTCATTAAGAATGTACTATTATTTCATCAGTGAAATCCTCAAATTTTAAATTAAATCCATAGGTCTGGTTTAGCAACCGCCGTGCGAGATGGAGGAAGCAAGCTGGGGCCAATCAACTGATGGCTTTCAACCATCTCATTCCGGGGGGGTTCCCTCCTACTGCCATGCCCACTCTGCCAACGTACCAGCTGTCTGAGACCTCTTACCAGCCCACAGCTATTCCGCAAGGTATGGAGGAAGGGAGTCAAGGGGTTAAAATGTAACTCCCAATTGGTTTCCCTGCTGCTGGTTTTAGGCAGGGAAACCTCTGCGATGCTGACATTGTTGCTGTTTGTACGTTAGTTAATTACGTTACATTAGGTTGCCCTGAATGTACCTGTCACATTTCAGAAACATAGTTTGTTCTATAACATAGCTGAATCTCACAAGATAAACTCTGTTGCAATATAATACTATTTCAATATTTTAAAACAACACAAAACAATGAAACAAAACAACCTTCCTATATAAATACGCGGTTTGCTTTTCTTTCGTTAAAATTTTATCTCTACCTTTGTACTCTAATCTGCAATTAACTGAAGTTTTGTGATGGTTGCTAACTGCAGTAGTTAGAGGGAAGGTAAGCTTTGATAAAGTCTATTTGTTAATACATAGAGGTGAATGGGATAAATGATAAGATTAAATTGTTTGGATTATGAAAGATAGCATTCTAGGCATTTGAAACTGTACTATTACACTAATATTTAGGTGCTTTGAAAGTATATTGATAAGAAATTTGAGACTTGCAATTCTTACAGTGGTTAATTCTAATGTTGATTAATAACATTCACTGCCAAAATAGGTTTGTTAGCATTCTTAATGTGGTTTCTGAATTCCTATTCCGGTGAGTGTGCCTTGAAAGTATATAGATAACTTATGTACTTGCACATGTGTGCAGAGATGTGGCTATATTTGTTACGAGTGGTTCCACACCTGTGTGTTAAGAAATGCAATTTGAAATTAACATTTGGTCTGACGGATAGATACTACTGGTGGCTTGGTGACTGTGAACTTTTGCACTGAACTCTCTCTGCTGGCCACAAAGGAACTTTCTGCTGACAATCTTCTTCATTGCAGCCGTGTCGGATCCCAGCAGCACTGTTCACAGACCTCAGCCGCTTCCTCCGAGCACTGTACACCAAAGCACTATTCCTTCCAACCCGGACAGCGGCTCTGCCTACTGCCTCCCCAGCACCAGGCATGGATTTTCCAGCTATACAGACAGCTTTGTGCCTCCATCCGGGCCCTCCAACCCCATGAACCCCGCCATTGGCAATGGCCTTTCACCTCAGGTCAGTCCCGTGTTTCCAGACAGACGATTTGCTGTATACCAGAACCAAATAGTCAATTCCCCCAGGCAGTCATATAATGAATTGCCAAATTTAAACCATAATGTATTCTTTATCCAAGCCACATGATTTTAGTTAGTTTCCTTTCTCTCCACCCTTCCTACTGGCTGTATCAAAAGTTGTAGCTCAGACTTAAAATTCAAGTGATTTTTAATGTAATCATGGAGACTTTATGTTTATACTCAGTGTCAAGGCATCTGTCATCTCTACTCCTAGTTCTGGGCTTTGGTTAAAAAACACACACACATTTTTTTTCTTTTTTGAGTGGTATTTGGTCAGCTGATGGGGTTGTGAGCAAAAGCAGCTAATAAGAAACCACCAAAGCTTTTATAAAACTATTGGAGAGGAAGCAAACAAGTTGTGTGGAGAGACCCAGCTGATGGCTACAGAACTCTGTGATAAATGAGTTATAAATGCACAAATTAGGAGAATTACTGCTCTTTGGGAATATATCCATATCTGAATGTTGTAATTGTTTTTCTAATTTGCATTGGACTATGAGCTTTTCTGGAGAGATCATATTAATAAATTGCCTTGATAATGCATGTCAGAGGGTTGGGTAAATTTTCTACATGTGGCATCTGTCTGAGGTTGACATTATTAGCAGTTGTTTAAATACAGATCGCTTGATTTTATTAGAGAGCACTTGGCCCAGGTGGCGAGGATAGCTGCCCGCTAAATTTGGAGAAATGTCGCAAAGGGGTTGCAATCTATAATTGCAATCGAGAATCTCTTCAGGGCTGAGAGTGAGAGTTTTAACAGCTTTATCTTTTCTTACCCCCTTTTCCTCTTGGTGGTTGGGAAAACAGAGAGAAGCTCAGAATGACACAAATGAAAAGTGAAAAGACAATTATCCTCAATTACACAGTAATCACTGGCACTCACCGCTGCCTAAGCACCAAGAGGGCATTCTAATAGGCAGAAAATGAGATTTTAATGGCACAAAGGGTGGCCAAAATAACGACTCATATATCTTTGCCGTCTTCGTTTTCTTCAACTTGTGGTTTGAGTCTTGGGAGTGGAGTTCTTGGGCTCTGCACAACGGTGATAACTCTGAGCAGCTGAAAAGTTCAAAGCCGTTGGAGTTGAAAAGAATGAATAGCAAAGGCAATGAAATAAACATTTCTGCCTAAAGGCAAAAGTTCATAAATCCTTTTTTGTAACAGTAAATGTAATTAAGTTTCATAGATTCCTATAGCACATCCTGGGATAAAAAATAAGAGGTGGCTTTAAACCTCAACTGAAAAATAGCAACATGAAAACAATGAACGTGCTTCCTACAGGACTTTAATACATTTAATTTCCAAGGCTGGCCTTTGTGGATGTGATTTTGCATGAAAATCATGGACTTATATTAATAGATGCATCTTTAAAATGCCCGGATTTATAACATATAAACGTCTTCCACGGTTTAGAAGTAACATCGGAGGTAGTTATCTCTGCAGTTTTTAACATGAGGAGTTTGGGACCATAGAAAAGCTTTTTATGAACATGACTTGGTTGAAAGTTTTGATAAAAGTAAACTCCAATCCTAAAGACTTCTGTAAGGTGAGACCCAGGATTTCCTCAGCATTTCTTTAGTGTTTAATCATAATAAAAATAATGACACGAATCTGTATTCTGTACATTAAACTGCTAGTCTCTTGTATTATAAATATATTATCTTGTATGTTATAATAAGTGTATTGTATTATATAAGTATTACATAAGTGGAATTACTAGTACTTGATCTTGAAACTGTTAATCCTTGATTTTTCAAGAAACCTGGCTATGATTCCAGAGTTGGTGCTGGGGAGGGAATCACTTCAATATCAAGCAATGGAAAATTCCACAGGCAACTTTTCCTGTATTTCTTTCCTGTATTATGTTAATCCCTTACTTATGACATTGCAAATATCCAGGATATTTTGCATTTCTACCAAACATTTCCACCTCAAACCACCACTAGGAACCCATGTTATCTAAGTTCTTGTAGCATCCCCAATGAGCTGGAAAGGGAACAAATAATATGAAGTTCCTCCTCATATCCTCAGGCAAAGTTGGAGAATGAAAGACAGTGAGTGAATCAGTATCTTGCCTAACATATTTACAAAATGCCAGAGCCAAATGACAGAGCATTGGGAAGTAGAGCTCAGATTTTTCTAGCTTTTGGGATTTATCACTTCTAAGGAATGTCTCTATTTTAGTAAGGAGGGGGGCTACCCTACTTTTTTGGTTGTCTGGCTTTATTAAAAATATTGTAAAGAAAAATTTGAAGAAAAGAGCCCATGTTTACCTGTTAACTAAAGAAGACAGTAAAGAAATGGAAGTAACCCTTTAGTCTTATTATTTATTATCTAGAAGTGCATATGACTATATTGGATCATGTCAAATTAAAAATGGAATGAATCCTGTGATTACCATTTTCCCTTTTCTCCTCCTGCTCTTCAACTTCCTCTGCCTCTATCTGGACATCTAATATGCAGACAGATGACTGAGGCTCAGAGAGCTTGTGGCCTGCTGAAGACCACAGGGCTGGTAGTGAGGGGATTGGGAGTAGACCGAGGATTCTCAGCTCCTAGTCTAGGATCTCATCCAGGATAGCACACAGTTTGGTGAAGAGGGAACAGGTTTCATTAAAAATAGAGGCAGGGGGCTTTAGTCATACTTTAAAATCATTTTGTAGAGACTAGTTTTCTAAACTTTTGGGTTCAGGTTAATTTACACTCTTTTTGCTAATGTGCTATTTATGCACTTTTTTGCTTTATACGCTTTTTCTATCCATCTTTTAACTTCCCCCAGTACTAAAAGTACTGCATGGTTATTGTAGGCGATGGAAAAAGAATTTAAAAAGTGTCTTTAGAATAGAAAAAAATTCCCCTGGGTAACCACTGTTAATGCTTTTGCATATTGCCTTTCAGCTCTTTTTGGATCTTTGGCTTTTTAAAAAATATAGTTGAGGTGGTAGTGTAGATAACTTCACATCTTGTCTTTTCTCTGCCTTTATATTTCATCATAGGGTATTCCCCATCGATTAATTTAACTAGAATTGGATCTCAAGTGTTTTGAGTTGTTATGATCAGTTCATTGTAGGTTTCTTTATTGGAGGCTATTTGACATGTTAAAAATATTTGTGCATTGTATTTGATTTTTCTCCCTAGTGTCATTGAAATTGATGGATGGTTTGCTATTCGGACTTGGAAATCATGAGTTAGAATGTGTGTGAACTGTTGTAGAATGGGCTTTCTAGTTTCTTGTCAAGGAGTTAATAGACGCCATAACAATAGGCAAATTGTTTGTATGTGTGTGGATTTTAGTTGGTTTTCCTTTGGAGTCTCTAACATATCTGTTCCCTCAAGCAAAGATTCTTTTAAAGCTTGGAATCCGAGCCATTAGCCAAATGGTGTTTCTTAGATGCCCTCAGTCCTTTTCTCAGGGAAGGTCTCAGCTTCCTGAGGGACGGGTGTGAAGCAGTGACTCAGAAAGGTCACACCTGTCCAGCTGGTCAGATTGGAGTAGCAAGAGTGACATGTATTTGTGACATTCTAAATCTCTGACAAAAACCCTTAGAAACTTTGGTCAGATCCTTCCTCAAGTTGCTGAAAGGGTCTGTGCAGTACTTAATCGTTGGCAAGCTTATCTTGTTCTGAGGAACTCAGTAACTATATCTGGGGAATATCCCTGTTTTACCTATGGAAAAACCGAGGCCAAGGCAACACAATCGTCTAAATGACAGAGTGAGTTACCAGTAGAGTTAGGAGCCAAATCTTATCTCTCTGCCAGTTGTTACTAATTCTTCTATAAACACAAATTACACATTTCACTGGCTGAAGAAGCATAATGTCCTGGGTTTTCCATGGTTTTCTCTCACTGACATTCAGATTTTCCTGCAGGCCTGGTCAAAAGGCTTCACAGATGGAGAGCTTGGCTTTGCATTCCCTCAAAGGCTGGATCTGTCAGGGAACTTGAGATCCCCAGAGATGGGTGAGAGAGGGAATAGGCTAATGACCTGGAAATTTTCTACCGTCTCCGAATTACTGGGATCGTTTGAACTACGTAACCGTTTTAGGAGACGGGGCTTACATCATGAATGTCAAAACATGGTCTGAGAAGAAAACCATTCAACTCCCTCTACTGAGGGCTTTCCCCTGCAGTAGCAGCCTTCTTTTGAGAGGTTGTGTTCTCTTTGTGTGGGGACAATACAGAAAGAATACAGGAAATAGAGGCCATGTATTTCCCCTCCGAACCCAGATGGTATGTTACCAGCACCTTTCTGCACGTGCAGGAGAGAAAAAGGAATACTGACCTCGAATATGGAGTACCGGGGAAGTACTACAATATGCTCAAGACGTGAGACTAATTAACACTTGGCGTAAGTTCTTCTAATTAACTTTGTCTTACAGGAAATACTACACTTGCTGCTCCCCCACCTCCAATACACACATAGCCAAACCAAAAACACAAGGCCAATTCAATTAACAAACTTGTATCATTTCACGCCCCACTTCCACCCCATTTCTACAAACTCCACAGTTTTTGGTGACAGCTTCTAATGATTTCTTGAGTGAAATACAGTATCAGTGGGTTATATGATTTCTAGGGAGATTTTTTTTATTGCTCTGTAGTATACAAAAATGGGCCAACTTGGCTGCATCGAGGGTTCATCAACCATTGCAAATGATTCTTCAAATGTTTTGGGTTTGGTAAAACCTAAAACACATTTTGCCAAGTACTTTTCCTCCTTAATTTTTCAAACTGTGTATTTTAGGGAAAATTTGATCCATATGGTTTTGATTCATTTGCTCTTATATCATTGACATTTTTTTTTCCTGCGGAGCCGTTTGATATCCACGAAGCTTTCTGAACCTTTCCTATGTTCATTTTAAGCATTTTCCTCCTTAAAAAGGGGAAGTCATCTTTGCAACCTCAGAGGCTATAAATTTTGAGTACTCTCTCAATTCAGC